TTCTGAAATTTGTGTTCCTTAAAAACAAATCCCTTTGCTAAACGAATACGTTCTTCCCCTTTAACTTCAGCTTTCAGGAAAAATACTAAATTTCTTAATTTCTCTCCATAAGCATTTTCTTCAGAAGAATCGAATTTGGTGTTAACTATAGGGTTTCTTAACCAAACTCTAAAAATGTCTTCCGGAATACACGATTCTACAAGAGGGAAAAGTATAGCTGAATATGTATCGGATGTTAAGCCTATGGACTCCAACGCTTTTAAATGCGATTCTAATTTATCATATAATTTCGACGTGTCTAACTTTCTTTTTTCTTCGGTAACATTTTTTACAACAAGATTTAAAAGTTCGCGTATATACAATTCAGTTAGTCATTCCTCCCTGCTGAATCTTGATTTTAAACAGGCAATACCTTTATCATAATTTTCACATGTCGGTGAGTAACTATCGACAATATCGCCACCTCTAAAGCCTTCAGTCATACATTGAATTAAATATTGAAATTTATCTTCTTTCGCAATACTTTCATCGTCATGTATTCTTTTGAATTTATTAGCTGCTCGTGGGAGGTATGTTTTCCTGTCAGTGATTTTGATAAACTTCTCGCAATCTCAAACCACCTAATTATTGCTGGTGATCTAAATTCACGCCATACCGATTGGTTCTGTCCTAATAAGAACAGGTTTGGCATTAGTCTAAATTCATGGGTTCAGAGCTCTCGGGTACAGATCATAGCTCCTACTGTCCCGACTTACTACCCTGTAAGAGGGTTCCCCGCAGTTCTTGATCTGACCGCTTTTTATAATGTTTACTATGAAATTAAAGTGATTCAAAAGTTAGATTCTGATCACTACCCTGTTTTGATTACCCTAGATATTCAAAATCGATACTCAAAATTAGAGGAGCAATCTCAACAAATTGGGATGATTTTCGGTTTATTTGGGAACGTACAGCTACCCCCCTATCAAAATTTCCAGCAATGCGGACTTTGACAGTTGTATCAAAAACATGGAGTCTTTACTGAAAGAAGCGAGAGCCGAGGCTTCGAAACCTATCACACATCATGGCGCTAGGCTCCCGCCGGATACTAAATCCAAAATTAAGCGGCGCAACTACCTGCGAAAACTTTGGCAGAGAACACGTGATCCCAGTATCCGTGCTCAATTTCGCAGACTACAGAACGATATTAGGTCTGAAACCCGCTTGCAAAAACCAGCGGAATGGAAACACTACATTGAGTCCCTAACGACTGACGACTGGTCGGTTTGGCGTGCTGCCGCCCGACTACGCAAACAATATAAACACATTCCGCCCCTTGAAACGGCCAATGCTAACCAGATAGCTTTTACAGGCACTGAAAAGGCTGAAGTTATTGCTGACAGCCTTGCTACACAATTCAGTCCAAATAACGACGCCTACTGTAACCGTCCTTTACACAGGGACGCATACACTCACGTGTTAAACATTTCTTAACACAACCCATCACGCCTGATTTCAAGCCGACTGATCCAATTGAAGTGCTGGAGTTCATCGATAAAATGAAACTGAAGAAGGCACCTGGCATAGATCAAATTTCGAATCGCATGGTTAAAAACTTCCCCATTATGTATATTGTATGGATAACGGTCTTGATTAACCTTATGCTTAAAAGGTGTTACTTCCCTGACTGATGGAAAATTGCCGCAGTCATTCCTATTCCAAAACCGTGTCAAAATTCAAATATCCCCGTCAACTACAGGTCCATTAGCCTCTTATCATCTCTCTCAAAAATATATGAATTTTTTATACTTAAACGCCTGAATGAATTCTGCCGTGATCGAAATTTAATAATCCCGAAACTATTTGGCTTCCGGCCTGAACACTCCACGGTACACCAGTTACTCCGTGTAGTGGAATTCATTCACGAGGGCTTTCGTAAACGAGAGAAAACTTTAATTGTCTATCTTGACATTGCCAAGGCCTTTGACAGGACTTGGCATGACGGGCTTATTTACAAGTTCATGCGGCTTTGTTTTTCGGCACAAGTCATTAAAACTATCAACTCGTACCTGACGGGTAGATCCTTTGAGGTGCGAGTTCGCCATGAATACTCAACTCCTCACCCGATCTGTGCTGGGGTCCCACAAGGAAGTTTGCTCGGACCTCAAATGTTCAACATCTACGTAAAGGATATACCTAAGTCACCTAATGTCGATCTAGTTTTAGATGCGGACGACACAGCCATCATGAACCAACATTCCAACATCTCCACGGTAATTTCTGCACTGCAGAATTATCTTTCAAGCCTAGAGCTCTGGCTCGGACTGTAGAAGATCAAAATTAATGTGGCTAAATGTGCTGCCACATTATTTATCCGAAGTACTTTCCCAAATTTACCTAACTTGCAGTTCTTCGGAGAACCAATTCCCTGGGTTCCTACCTATAACTATCTAGGAGTGATACTTGATTCAAAATTAACTTGGCAACCTCACATTCAAAAAACAATTTCCAATGCGAAGGTTGTCAAAACCCAATTACTGCCTTTTTTCGATAGAAATAGCGACAAATCCACGAAAAACAGGATTTTGCTCTATAAATCAATGATAAGGCCAATTCTGACATATGCTAGCTCGGTTTGGGGCGCAGCAGCAATTACTAAGAGGAAACATATCCAAATTTTTCAGAACATTATGCTACGGCAAATTTATAGAGCTCCTTGGTTTGTTACGAAAGAGGACATTCGTAATGCAGCAAAAATTCTCCCCATAAATCGCTTTATACAGCGACTTTCGGTTAACTTTTTCCAAAAGATTTCTTCCATCGGAAACCCCGTACTCCACAGCCTCCCTGTTTATCATCCGGGAATTGCATCGGCAAAAAAGATACCCAGAGCTATTCTGGAGATCGCATATAATGCGCTTCTTTTTCCCAAGAGGGGTTGCTATGGAGACGAGGCGCCTCGAAGGTTTCAATACGCTCGTTCGCTTCTCCCACCCGCCTGAGTGAATTTGCTGATCTTTCAGCTTCTCTCAGGGTCACTCTGTCTTTGTCCCGTAATCGAGCAATCTTACTTCTTTCAACCGTAAGGGTTTGTTATCAGGCGCTAAGCACATCTTTGTTCCCTTCTTAAAAGGGCTCTCGTGCAAGGATTACTTAATTTAAATTTAATCTCTGTAAGAGAACTTAATGCTTTTTCATTAGTTATCATAACACTTAAAGTTAATGCAATCTTATTATATTTATAAAAGTTTCTGCTCAGAGGCATTGCTGGTCCTGTCTCTTTAATTCAAACTCGCCTAGCGAGTTCCCGCTTTTCGCCTCCCCCAGACCTGAAGCACTTGCGACATGAAGCTTTTCGCGAGTGTTTCTGCTCTCGTATTGTTAACACCACATGACCATTGATCAAGGAAACATAGATGCTTTTCAAAATTCATGATGTAACCCCTTCAAATTGATTCTGGCCCTTATTCGACACCAAAATTACTAAATTAAGTCCTTCAGTGTTTTTACCTTTTTTTTTTTTTTTTTTTTTTTTTTTCCCACTGTGGAAGGCAGTAACTCTTTTTGTTAAATTAACATTTTGGCACTAAATTTACCTCTTTGCGGAACCCTCTTTTTGGAGATAAAGATAATTCTTTGACGATATGGGGATAAAGGCTACATGCCTAAGTGCCCCGTAATAGAACCCTTCCTTGATCCTCCTTGGTCCTTTTGAATTGGCTCAAAAAGGCAAGCCAATCTTTGATTTCCCCGTCAAATTTCAAAAGTTTGATCTCTGGTAACTTTAACTTTCGTTTTCGTACGGGAGAAGAATCAACAAAACTTTCGGTTTTAGAAATTCTATTTAAATACATTTCTACGTTTACTTCCGCTTTTACGAAATTTTCATTATATTCTTCTATTATCGCGTACTCGTTCTGATACTTTTTATCGTCTGTATCTTCTAATAATAAAGAGCTTATTTCCTGATCTATTTCAGTTAGCTGATAATAAATTCTACGTAAATTAGCAAAGTTAGATCTAATGCTCTTTTCTTTAACATTATCTGCCTTTGATAAATCTGTGAAGTTAGCTCTTATAGAAGAGAGCTTTTTTTAACAATTCCATTTTCAGAATAATAGGTAATTCAAAATAACGTACCTTTAATATCACGTCATACGGTCACCATGTTACGAGACTCTACCTGAATTTTGTTCATTCAGTCGGTACTCCATTAAAAGAAACGTAAAGAGAAATTATAATTAAGTAATACGGGCAATCCACCCAATTAATTCACTGTAAAACAAGCAATCCACCTTAATTAATTCACTATAAAACAGGCAATCCACCTTAATGCAAAGTCATGGTGCATTTTTGCTTTATTCTAAAAACATAAAAACGATACAATGGTTCCAAACCGTAAAAATTTAACCTTTAAAGAAATTACATTTATACAATCGTTGAGTTGCTCGCGACAACGATACTTTAATTACTTTGTACAGAAAATTGCGTGGCAGAATATTTTCAACCATATTGCTTAAATCTTTAAGCACGCGAAAGGTCATGTGAAATGACAGAAATATTACCGGATGTATATTGATCCATCCTAGAAGCCACTCCCTCGGTGGCTACACAGATGTGCACTTGTGAAATATGCCCACCGTTACCTCTTATGAGGGGACAGAAAATTTGCATCAATGCCTTCTCCGGGATTCAAACGCAGGGCCCCGTTTTTGTGTGGTATTGCAGTCGGCTCCTAACTACTGTACCGTCTGGGCGTCATTCGAAATATCATACCCGAAATGTTTTGCTATTACAACATTTGAAGTAAAAAATGAAGTTGAGTTCGTGTTTTTGAAGGAGTTAAAACATAAAAGTTGTCTTATAAAATATGTGGCAAAATTTACGATTAGTATCACTTTGTTTTTGGTTAGGTTATATTTCGAATTTTTTTTTTTTTTTTTTTTTTTTTTTTTTTGTCGGCTGACCCGTTAGTTAAACTAATTTTTTGTTCCATTTCTACGTTAACCGTACGTCGTATAGTCGAGTGCTTTTTTTTATCATACAGTCGGAGCATGGCATATTTTGAATTTTAGAAACGAGCGATTTTGAAGTCTATGATTTAGACTGTTTTTAGGTGGTGATTGCGCTAAAGTTGTTATATTACATACTTTATTGCTTTCTTTTTTGTAAAATAATTTTTCTATTGAAATTTGTGTTTATTTTATTTGATATGAAGTTAGTTTCGTTTCATATCATGTGACTAAAAATGAAACAATGAAGAATTTTTTGATTGTATACGCTTTAGTTTTGTAGTTTATGCTGCAAAATAATGTTTTATAGTACATCTGTAGCATGTCCTATGGAATTCTGTCATTTCTGAATCATTAATGGAATGTCTTTATTCAGGTGTGATTAAAATATGGATAAACAGGATATGATGGATATGAAAGAAAATGTGCTGCAGAATTTACGTTCTGTTACACAGAGTTCTAAAGGAGGAGTACCTGTAGATCTTTTACAGAGTATGTATCTATAATTTTCGTATTTATTATTTTACATTTTTTTTTATAATGAGACTTGTTGAATCCACATTTGTTGTTTAAAAATTAAATAGTAAAATAATTAAAGAAAATAGGCAATAAATGCTCATTTTATGTATTTTACTAATGTACGAATTTAATTTTTGTACGAGTTTAAAGAAATTGGTGTTAGTTTAATTCTTGTTAAATCCATGATGCTCAAGCAGGTTGATGAAATGTTTTAAATCTTGCCGAGTTCAGCAAGTTCTTGTCTGGATAAAGCATTAAAACATCCCAGAATTGCACAAAAATGGCATTGCGCACACTCTTGACTTTATCCATGTACAGTGCTAAAGTCCTAGCTAGTAACCTTTATCGCCTTACCAAAATGTTACCAAACTACCTGTTACCATATTCCAAAGATTAGCCGATCACCACTCTAGGCGACTAGAACACGCCGGGGTGGGGCTGTATCACTGAAGATCTGATTAGTTGTCAGTTTTTCCACACCAGTACTACATGGGCTAGGACTTGAACGTGTGAACCAGTCTTTTATGATATCTGTATCCTTAGCAAAGGCTGCATCACTTCCTGAAGTGGATCATATGCTAGGCAATTTACTGGCAAAAGTCGGCAAATCCCCTTTCATCTAATTGTACGAAATGATCTTCCCTTGAGTTCTGCAACTGCAGACTTGTGTTTTTGTACCCCACCGGAATAACCACTGTCATAGTAAAAATACTAAGCCAGTATATGCAACCTCCAGGGCGTTTAGCTAATGTAATAATAATAAAACTTTTATATGTGCTCTGTCATTTAGACACTAAACAAACTGGCCCCAACGGAGAAATCCCCATATTAGGCAAGGGGTTGGATGCCAATCATAGTTCCCTGAGAGGGTTAGAATGTATCATGCTACCACTCCAGACTCCCAATCCAAAGGAGCAGGCTAAAAGTTTTTTCTACAACGGCTGCCTCCTGGACCCACGGGGTCACCACTTATAATTCTCAGGTTTCACCATGGCGGGGAACATGGATGCCTGGAGATCTGACTGACAGTTTAAAATGTTACCTGCCAGTACTATGCGGGCTGCACTTCATAGCAAACTCGGTACCATCCTACACCGAGCTACAGAAGCAACTGGTCCACGACTTACGCGCGTCCACCCAGTTGGGCCAATGAAGTTCCGTCTCAACCTGAATCTCCCAGCTAAGCATGTGGAACTGCCAAGTTCAATGATAGTATGCCGCCGTGGTTGAGACAGCCTAAGTACAGATCCTAGCCAGTACTTCACAGAGTTCTCTGTATCGAACCCCAATGGGGAAGGGTAACTAGCTGATGTAAAGTCGAGTTACAGATATGTTGCTGCAAATGCTGGAGAAATATGTTTAGTCATCTTTTGATGATACTGTAAATGTTATTATTAAATGCATAAATGTTTATGTTGAATCAATTCGAAACAAATTTAAATGCAAAAGAGATGCGTTTCCAAATCAGTAAAGCAGAAATGAAAGTTCTGTTAGGTTTACTTTATTATGCTGGTGGTATGAGAACTGCACACTTGAATACGAAAGATGGAAGATAACGGATGGAATTAGGAATGCAAATTTTTCCAGTTATGATTTCATTCAATTTTTCTCATTTTCTGCTTAGATGTTCGAGGTTTTGATGTTATGCAGAGTCTCAAGAGAGAAAGTAATTAGATAGAGTAGCCTTAGTAAGAAATATTTGAAATAATATTTATTAATTTTCAAAAAGTATATTGTGTTTCTAAATATTGTACAATTGATGAGAAACTAGAATTTTCTCTAGTCCACCATCGGCCGAGCGGTAAAGACGCTGAACACTGGTGGTTCAGTCCGAGATACGAATCCCGTGAACTTCATGGCTTCATGGGCGTTTTTGTGATTTTCCCCATGCGTAACGTGTATACAAGCCAGTTTCCCTTAGAAAGTCCTCCACAAAGGCATCCCTATCTTCAGGCAGATAGCCCTCGTGTGCTTTGCCATAATTGAATAATTGGTAAAAGTATAGTTTAGGATACCCCTTGGCGATTTTTGGCGGTACATGGATACCAATTTTGTGCAATTCTTTGTGCAGCAGTGATTTTATCGCCAAAAATCACCGCTACACAAAGCCAAAATAACAAGACAAATTGTATAAACTCGGTATCCAGTACACATAGACTTATTTTCACTTCAAAAAAAAAAAAAAAAAAAAAAAAAAAAACCCTCTGAATTGCACAAAAATGGCATTGCGCACTCCTTTGACTTTATGCATATCATCCACGTCGACCTATTTTCACATAAAAAAAATTCCAGAATTGCACAAACTTGCATTGCGCACTCCCTTTACTTTGTCCATGTACACATCGATATATTTTCACTTAAAAAGTTAAAGGAGCACCAAAGTCTACAATATAGGCAAACAAAAAATACATAATCTCAATAAAATACATTTTAAACCAAACAATAAAATAACATAAAAAAAGGAAAACATGTTATACATTTAAGCACTACCAAAAGCAAATATTCACTTACCATGATTTTCGAGTTCGCTTCGTACACCCAGAGCCACGTAAAAATCAAAATATCAATCATACTCAAATGACTTTTTTAAAACCAGGTACTCTTTCTGATCAAACACTTTCCATAGTAACCATCTAAACTTTTCTTCCTACAAACCCATTCAAATCCATCTAAACGGTTTTAACACACACCACAAAAACACTTACAAAACATTCCATGATTCAAAATTTCCCAGAATCATGCACCTCAGGCTACCATAAATGAAATAACAACTTGGCGATAAATCAAACAACAACTTCGCCATAATACAAGGGGTACCTTAAAGTCTATTCTATCCGAATAATCCAATCCAAGAATTTTTTCTCAGAACATGTCAATTTCACCAATACATAAAGAGCAAACCAGGGAAATATGGTATAAAAATTTTTGCACTGTGTCATGCCTACATTTTTTATACACAAAATCTGGAGGTTTATGTTGGGCATCAACCTAATAGACCTTTCAGAGTAAGCAATAAACAAGTGATATTGTGAAGAGACTTATTGCTCTAATTACTTATACTGGTTGTAATATAACTATGGATAACCGGTTCATGAATTTCACATTATCATTAGAATTACTAGAGAAAAACAAAGTTTACAACTGTTGGTACAATAGAAAGAATAAAATAGAAGTTCCAAAGAAATTTTTATCACATAATCAAGGTTTTTACATTCTTCAAATTTTAGATTTCATGAGAAAAAAAATTCGTTACTGTTAAATGTTCCTAAAAATCTGTTTTAATATTATCTTCATGTATTTTGGAAGATAAAATTGATTCAGCTACAGAAGATTTATGTAAACATGCAATGATTACCTTTTATAACTTGACCGAAAAAAAAGTAGATACAGAGGATGAGATGTGTCGAACAGCACAGTTGCAGTGCCTAACCTTGTGCTCGCCGGTAAAAAATATTTAAAAAATAACCATATTTCTTAATTGTTAAAGTATGGTAAGCATTTATAGTCATAAGAGATATCTTGCAAAACGTTATAAAATATTTAATTGCTGACTGATGAACTTGATAGCGAACATGGAATCTTATTGCTTCATTCTGATGTTAGATGGCTCAGCAGGAGAAAAGTACTTCAATGATTTATAGAACTTCTTTCGCCAGTAAAGCAGTTTTTGGAATACGAAAATGAAAGTTACAAAGAATTGGACGATGATAATTTGTTATCTGATCTGTATTTTCTCACAAATATAACAGCTAAACTGAACGAATATCTCCAGGGAAAAGAAAAAATCCTTTTTCAATTGACTGGGACTGTAATTGCTTTTCAGATAAAGTTGAATTTGTGTATAAATCAGATGAAAGAAAAAAAATTCACCCATTTTCAGAATTTATCAAGCCATATTAATAACCACAATAATATACACAAGGCAATTGAAACAAATACTCGGAAAATCTAAATGCACTGAATAATTTTGAACTCCGCTTTCTCTGATTTCCATAAAGTTCAACCAATATTATTATTCATCTCAAACCCATTTGCTGAAATTAATATTTCAGATGTATCGCATACTGGAAATACGTTTAACAAAAATGTTGATGTTTTGGAAATGTGCTCGCCATAGGCCAGAATGTGCTCGGGAGAGGCCAAAGGTTGGACACAGCTGGTGTAGACTAGATTCAGTGTCAAGAAAGAAATCATTTTTCGCATTTTTCATTGGGTTATGAAATATCACAAATATAATTCTTATACTGTTTCTGAATTCAACAATGAAGCCAGCCATTTTTCGATTGCATTATTTGAAGCAACTTGCTGTTGACTTAGACCATCTTGAAGGATCAGAGAATATAAAGTAACTACAGAGTATTGGAACTAGCTCTAAAAGAATCTTAAATTTACCTGATGAACAACTGGCAAAATTTAAGAAATCCCCAGCTTGATGTTAATGTGCAGAGTGTCCAAAGAAATCTGATGGAAAGATCTGTATGTGAAGTATGTGATAGATCATTGTGTAAAACCATTCATTCATTATATGCTCAAATTGTTTTACAACAAAAAGTTATAAAAATTATAGCAATCAATAAAAACATATTTTGAGCATAACCAAGATGAATAAATGTGGTAACTGAATTTTAATACTTAGTAGTGAATATTTGAGTATTTTTTACTGAACATTTTCAAATACAAATGTGATTCAAAATACTTAATTTTATTGTTATTTAAAAACTTTTATTTATTAAATGTTTAACCCAGTTAATCTTTGGATTATGGTAACTTGGCGATCTTTTGGCGACCAACCCTGCTACAGCAACCGGCTAGTTTTTGTTTGGACGCCATTTTGTTTTCACGAAGTAAAGTCTTTTTTTTTTTTTACTCAAAATTTTTTTCCCCAAACAATCTGCTAGCCGAATTATGCTTGTGATAGAACTTTCATGGAACAAAAGTGCTTAATCATGACGAAGATTAGGTGCAAAATTGGGAGAAAGTGCAGAATCACAAACTGCTTGCCACGTTTTTAAGAATTGCACATATACGATAACCATGTACACGTCAACCTATTCTCACTTAAAAAAAATCCCAGAATTGCACAAAAATGGCATTGTGCGCACTCTTGACTTTATCCATGTACACTGACTATCTAAGTCCTAGCTAGTAACCTTTATTGCCTTACCAAAATGTCGCCAAACTACCTGTTAACATATTCCAAAGATTAGCCTTTAACCCTATCTGTCACGCAACCTTTGAAAAAGTGAGGGTCTTTAAAAACTAAACATAGCTAAAATGTATGGACTGGTTTTTGTTGTGCTGTGATCTAGTGTAAATAATGAAGATTGAAAGTAACCTATAGTAACATATAAAGCCTTTTCCATTCAGCTTTTCTGTGTGTACAGAGGGAATTTTTTGGACACACTGTGCTGAAAGGGTTAAATGTTTCAAAATGGTGAAAAATTAATTAAAAGTTAAAATAAGGATACAAAATCAAATGAAAATTCACATTTAAAACAAATAATATATATTGATCCTCAAACAAGTATTCAAGTAACATGCTTATCTAAAATGTCAATATCTTACTGAGAGGTTAGTGTAAAAATTGGGATCAAAGCTGACCCGTTCCATGTAGCAGGATTATATTAAAAGAGCTGAAAGGTTATATAGTTGTATTTGCTGAAAGGTTAAAATAACCAACTAGGATTTTAGATGATTTTAATCTTTTATGGATGTTGTAATCTTGGAGAACAATTACAGTTTGTAATTTCAGTGCCATTATTAAATTACCTTCTTATACTTACTGATAACTTGTAGATGTCGATATTATTGATAATTTTGTGTCACCTTCTACCCAAATTGAAAATGAATTAAATTAATTTTATTCTATTTCCCTACTTAATTTTTTGATATTTTATTTTCAGAGGATTATAAATCGCTTCTTGGTACTGAAATACCTTTTAGGGATCTTGGTTATAATTCTCTGGAAGCGTTCCTTAGGGATATACCAGATGTTATTTCTGTTAAAAAGTAAGAATTTATGCCATAGTTTTGGATGTAGAAGAATGTAAATTTTTTTTTTAAAATAAGAATTTCTTTTTCAACTGAATAGCTATACAAAATGTTTTTGTGGGTAGACTAACTTCTGAATTTAATTTCAGAAGTTAGTCTATTTCTATTTTGTGAAAAATGTGTTAATTACTATGTTAGACATTGTCAAATTTAATTTTTTATATTTTATCATGCTACTTTTTCCAAAAGTATATTTGATGATAGGTGTGTGTTAGAATATAGGGAATGCAAAATTGAAGTTTTATAGTATGCAGCATATAGTTATGATTAAAACTTTTCAATAAGAATAATTTTTATAATTTCTTTCAAAACTGTATTAACAGTTAAGAAAACATCTTGTTGCAATTTTCGGTGAAGATATTTCAGTAACTCCAAACTTATATTGAACTAATAGCAACTAAGAGCAGATACTGTCTCCAGTCTTATATAGTTTTCAGCGGGCTGCCAAGATACTTCTAGTCCTTTCTGCTTCTTGAAATTCTGGAAAACATATGAGAGCCAAATTGCGTTTACAGCTGATATAGAGCTGAATTGCATTTATTCAGTTACAATACTTATTACGGATGGTGATGCGAGGACCGGATCAAAATGTCGCCATTGGTTAAGTTTGGCGATTTGGCGACAAAAAGTCATTGCCAGCTTGTCGATATCTCATCAGTTTATCAATATAGATATTTACTGAGTGTTAAATAGGCATGCCTTTGTATTATTTTTCTAGAGGAGCATTATTCCTCTCAACTTTTCATGTTATACAGAAAAATATAAAAATTTTGCATAAAATTGCACTAAAATAATTTAACTATGTACAAAATTCGTAAAATTATGTTTAAGCAGTTAAATTTTTTTTAAAATAGAAATCATGAGGGAATGTTGATGGCAGTTGGTGTAGCTGACGCTTCAACTGCACACATTGCAAGTCTTGTTTCAAGACAAAAAGATTCCAAAACATCTAGTGTAAGTATTAATAAATTTTTACCTTTAAAAATTATTTTCTGTTGTTTATAAATGTTGCAAGTTAATGTTGTGATATTAAGTTATCTTTACTAAAGATTAGAATTATGATGTTACATATCTCCTTATTTATTTATTATTAACGGTAACAAAACATTTTTAAGTTCTTGAGGTGCTGGATTATATTCAAGCCTGAAAATTGAATTACATGCCAGTTTATTAATATATAAAAATATAAATTTTGAATAGATTTTGGGTAGAGTAGATCATTTATGGTAGCCAGAGTAATTGAATGTTATGGAAACCCTATTGTGACGTAATCGGGTGCATGATTTCTGGGAAATTTTGAATCATGGGATATTTTGTAACATTTTTGTGGTGGTGTGAGGTTTATTCTTTAGATGGTATAATGGCCGAATGTAGTAAGATAATTTGAAAGTTTCTTGTACGATTTGGAGCGAAAAAGAGCTTAATTGACTGGTGTGTCAGTGAAGGTTTACTTAGTAGCCATTTTAAGTGTCCTGTATGTAGGAAGGATATGCGTCTAGTCGAACGTAAAAACCGTTTAGATGGATTTGAATGGGTTTGTAGGAAGAGGGGGTTCAGATGTTCACTATGTGAAGCGTTTGATCAGAAAGAGTACCTGGTTTGAAAAAAGTCATTTGAGTATGATTGATATTTTGATTTTTACGTAGCTCTGGGTGTACGAAGCGAACTAAAAAATCATGGTAAGTGAATATTTGTTTTTGGTAGTGCTTAAATGTATAACATGTTTTTCCTTTTTTATGTTATTTTATTGTTTGGTTTAAAATGTATTTTATTGAGATTATGTATTTTTTGTTTGCATATATTGTAGAACTTGGTGCTCCTTTGACTTTTTAAGTGAAAATATATCGATATGTACATGGACAATGTAAAGGGAGTGCGGAATGCAAGTTTGTGCAATTCTGGGATTTTTTTTAAGTGAAAATAGGTCGACGTGTACATGGCTAAAGTTAAAAAAGTGCGCAATGCCATTTTTTTGCATTTCGGGGATTTTTTTAAAGTGAAAATAGGTCGACGTGTACATGGCTAAAGTCAAAGGAGTGCGCAATGCCATTTTTGTGGAATTAGGGGATTTTTTTCGCAAACCAAAATGACGAGTCAAAGAATTGCACAAAATCGGTATCCATGTACCGCCAAAAATCACCAAGTTTAGCAAAGAGGTACCCTAAACTATACTTTTACCTAGATTTTTTGTAGGCATCTTTAAAATATGAAAAATTGTTATAGATAGACTAATATGTTTATTATCTTGTAGGTACTTTTCCTGTAGTACTTGCTCTTACCTGCTTAGGTCTGCTACTAATTGATTAATTGTAGAAATCATCTTCAAAATTTAAATTCACTAATTCAGTAGTAAATTAATTTACGGTAGTAGCAGGCTTGATGATTTTAATCAAATGATTAAATTATTAAATTCACTGTTTCAAATATTGCTTTAAGAAGTGGTTATAATCTGTAAACTCAGAATTCCTTAAAAGCAAGCAAAAAAGCAACTTTGTGGTTGGTGCAGATTTTACTTAAAATCGATATGGGAAGGCGAATAGGGATAGGTCTGTCTTTGTCAGGAACAGCAACAAAAAAAGAAAAAGTGTTGCAAAGAAAGGAGCAAGCCACAATCATATTTGTACCCTACCATAATTATGCCATATACTTAGAATTCTTATTTTACATTGCATAACTTGTTTCAAGACAAACAATGTAAACTAGGAATACTGGTTGTGGTAGAAATCAGCAATTATTCACATATGCATTTTTATAAATTTTTTAGGATTACAAATTTTTGAAATTATATATTTATTCATGGATTTTAATACTTGCACTTGATTTGCATATGCTCTCAGAATTTAAATGATATTTTGGATTAGTTCGCAGAATTAATCAATCATTTATTTGTTTGCATTAAATTTCATTATTTAAAATTTTATTAACTTAAAATTTTCTTTTCACGAATAGAGAATGTTTAACTTAGAAGCCAAACAAGAAAAATCAGCATTATATTTTCAAATTTTCACAGGACTAGTTTCAATGGTTTACCGAACCATCATCCTCAGCTACAAAAGACAAATTTTGTTGTTTGGCTTCTAAGTTAATATTTGTTCAGCATGTTATTGTATCTTAATTAGAGAATGTTTGTTGGATTAAAAAATATATATATGATATTTCGGCAGTAATGAAGCTTGGCATCAGATGGTTTTAGCAGAGTGGTAAGGCGATATCCAAAGAAGACACACAGAGGAATTTTACTTTTAATTGCACATATTTATTTAATTCAAATAGCAGATCAATTTCTTTTTCTGACAAAGTTCTCCAAATTACATATTCAATAATGAGTTACTAAGTATGATTAAATTTTGACTTTCTGCGTCATAACATTCTAACAAAGAAAAGAAGGATGGACAGAGGAGTGTGGAATATAGCACAGGAGGAGAGGCGAGCTTCTGACGCAAAATGGCGCACATTCAGTATTTATAGTAGCGTTTATGTAATAGGCTAGCAAATTCTAAAAGGTACTGGTCTAGGGGAAAGATCCTGAATTGCAGAAAATTAATTGAAGGTTGCGTGTTCGCAAAGAGCAAATCGTATTTTTTTATATTTTACCTATATATATATATATATATAATGTTGTATGATCTTAAATTCATTTAGTGCGAAAACAAGTTACTACTACTTGCACAATTGCTGCAAAATTAGTTAATAATTTATTTCCTCCAATCAATGACAATGATTATATGTTTTTAATTTTTCCTTTTACAATTGAAATTTTGTTCTTCATGATGATTTAATTCCAGTCCCCGTTAAAACATTATTTGCATTTTACTTTCAAGTTACTTCAAAACATCTTTCAAAATATAACTTACCAGTATGGATTCACTCTTTTAAAATAATTCTACTTTAATTAAACTTAGGAGACAATATTGTTTAGGAAATAAATTATATATATATATATATATATATTGCATGTATATAGTGTAAATACACTGGTGTTCAAAATTAATGTTACAAGCACATCTTTTGCAATAATTCAAAATAACTACCACTATAAGAATTGATGTTTTATATAATTTGCAGAATGGTTTTAAAGAAAACATGAAAGTTACTGATTTTTAGATTTGTTACGCTCATCTATAGGATTGTGCTCTTTGCAAGAAAATTATAAGACTGATTTCAGTTACTAGTTTATGCTACCATTTAGACCAATGGTATTCAAACATTATGGCAGTGCGTTCCCATAAAAACACAAACTACCAAAAAAAAAAAAAAAAAAAAAAAAAAATTGTTGACCTCAATAAGAATGTCAGTACATTATTAAATATTTTCAAGGTCAGATTTTTTTAATTTTTATCCGCCTTAAAATCCTACTATAAATTTTTGTGACCCTATTTTGGGTCAAGACACATAATTGGAATGCGACTAGTTTAGACTATAAATTTAGATGGAGAGCTATTGGTAGGCTTGAGGCCGGGGAGTCCTGAGCCTTCTCATTGGTCTGCTTACTCAATTGGAGTTTTAAATTGTGATATCAGCTGGTATGATTTGTAGCCTCATTTACAGTATGACATTTATTCCCTGTTTATTTGATTATGTTACTGTCTGTGTTATAGTATTGAGTATCTATGTGCAGAATTTAATTACAGGAAACCAATTATTTCGTGCAGTGTCACCCATTTTGTGCTTGTAACCTTAATTGTAGACATTGCGTGTAGTATAAACAATTTTCAAAATGCATTCAAACTCCACTCTAATGAACTTCTCAAGAGACATGATTTAGTTTGTTATATCCAGTCTGATGAGGATGAAATGGATCATCTTGCAAAATAGTACAAAATAATTTTCGTAATTTTGGCCCTACTTTTGTTTTTGTAAAATGTTTTCCTCTCGATACAAAATCATGACATGTAGATTTTTTTTTAAAAGCTTCTTTCAACATTTATGTTTATCATGCTCTCAAAGTTTGTTTTTCAGAATATTTGCTTTCTTAGGAACTCAGTTATTTGTAATTGTTTGCCACTGCCATTGGATTTTTGCCCACAGTAATTGACAAAAAGTCTTTAAAAATTTGTTTAAAGTTGCACATGTCTAGATATGCTCAAAAACTTCTAAATCCATTGATCTTTGTTCTTTATTGAATTTAGACATTGTGTAAATGTCCTTTACAGAATCAAAATATATCACTCCAAGCGTACTGAATGTCAGATGTTGATTGAGTATTTCATTATACATTATAACTCTGAATATCGAAATTAACTGGAACTACAACTCATTCAATAGGCATGATCTCTATAGAACTGAAAATATCTGTAATGACTAGAGTGATGGCCTTAAGTTTGAGGCCCCCTCCCCAATAGGCCAAATATATATGTATTATAATGCAAATAAGAATTTTTTAATATTTTTCTGTTGTATTTTATTTTAATGTGGATTATACAATTAATTATTTTCATTGGTTGAATTAGGTAATGGAATTGTTTATAATTCCCTAAACACATAACCTATTTCTTTCTCAACTAAAAATAAAATAATGAAATGAATTTTTATTTATATATCTAGCAATAAAAAAAAAACTAAACATATATTTTTTTACTGTATTAAAATATTTTTTTTTAATTATTTGCAGAAGATGAGATGCTTAACCTGTGTATGAAAAAAATGAACTGAGACACTTTTTATCAAACGAGAATACTAAAATAATGAAACAATATGATATATATTAAATTCTTTAACTTGCTCTGTGTAAAAAAATTCTGATTTTAATGAAACGTGTTCATGTATATAGACTGCACGATAAAAATATGTTAGATTAATTAAATTAAGTTTTATTTGACACAAAAAGAAGAAACTGGTGATTTGGATTAGTGACTTCTGTTGTGTTAAAATAAAACTTGTCTAATTTTTGTTCTTTAAAATTTCGAGAAAAAAATATTTACTAAATTCGTCATTGATATTAAAAAGTAGCCACCAGTGGTTCTTAACCTTTTCTGCCCCATGCGCCCTTTTCACCATTACTAGGAGATCATCCCCTCTTTCCCAAACTTGAAAAATGCATATATGCATTTATTTAGATTTTGCTTATTTTCTAGTATGTTTTATAAATTAAACAACAAAGAGTAGAAAAGGTTAAAGAGTAAAACTTGAATAAAAGTTTTTGTATTCATAAATTAAAACTAAATACTTGCCAGCTAAATAAAAGGCTGACCGTATCCACCCTGAAACTATGAAATCCCCCTGGTTTATATGCTATGCCCATAAAAGTATCTCTGCGACCTCCTCAACTGTTGGTCATAGACTTATACTTTTGGTCACAAAACTTTTAAATAAGAAAAAATATTCATGTTATGGCATTTTTAAATTTAAAAAAACAATTTTGTAAAAGTTCCAAAATCTAATTTTGTATGGTATCTCTGTCTCTGTAGCTAGTTAAGTAAAAATTTGTATACTTATTCTAAAAAATAAAATACGAAATGTTTGACTTCCGTGTGACAGAAATTGACCAAAATATATAATTTTAAAGTTTTACATGTTTAGGGATCTTGCACAAAATTAAAAAGATAATGTTTAAATGTATGTGACTAAAAATGAAATATCAGTTAAAAAAAAAAAAGGTTTCTGATGTCGTGACTAAAAATGAAATGTCAGTTAAAAAAAAGGGTTTCTGATGTTAATAAATTAAATGATAAGCATTGCTGTGCAGTTATGAAATGTTTTGATAACTATAAAGGTTTCCAAAAGGCAGCTGTTATTCACAGGATTTTGCAGAATTCGTTCGTTCGTAGAATGAAAAACTGTTGCAGGTTTTAGTATTGCAAATTTCACATAGAAAATGTATAACATTATTTTCATAAATTAAAAATGAAAAATATTTCCAATTTAATGTTTTTTGTATGTTTATTAGATTTATGACTCTAAAGTAAAAAGCTGCATGAAAATAATAAATTTTTGGCATTTGAAAATTTATAAATTACATGGGTGAAAATTCTTTTGGAATATCATCTCTAATAATAAAATTATAAACTTAAGAATGTTAGTAAATCAAAAAAAAAAAAAAAAAAAAAAAAAAAAAAATTTCCAGTTACTCCAATTTGTTTTTAAACCTAGTCAAAAAAGATGGCAAAAATCCAAAATTTTGAAATGAAATATCTCAGTCCGTTTTTGTTGTACTGAAGTCAAACTTTTTGTATTTAATTTTTTATAATGAGGATAAACTTTTACTGTACATAGCTGTGGGGCTTGGGAGAATATGTAAAAAGTTAGATCTCGTAATTTTTACAAAGTTCATATTTTAAAATGTAAAAATTTCAAAATGTGAATATATTTGTCATTGGAAACATTTTTGTGATAGGAAGTACTTGTCTATGGCCACTGGTTGCAAAAATAAAAGACTGTATAAGAACTTTTATGAGCGTGACATGTATAAATAATGGACATGGTAACATTTATACTGTTGTTTTACATCTTCACTGTTTATTTTCAAATCTTTCATTTTCTGGCCCCCTTAATTTTATTAATTATATCTAGAAGACAAGAAGACCACATTACAACACAAGAAGAAGTTTCCCTGTGCGTTCTCTTCCACGAGCAAGGTCTAGACCTTCATCTCAAGATGTGAGAAGCTCTAAAGCTTGGGATACTAAAGTAAGTTACTCACGTATAACACATTTCCTGATAGGGAACATGCCGCGCTGGGAAAGAATGAATAGCACATAATTAAAATTGTCAGTCAGACAGAAAGTGCATATGTAAATAAATGAATTTAAGAAAGATAATGTGGTATGGCAAATAAATATACAGGATTAATAGTAGTAAGTAGGACTACAACTTGAAACAATACAGGAACAACCCCCTACAAAGTACATATGACATTGACGTGCAGATAGTATTTTGAAGAATTAATGACCATATGATTACAACCATTTCATGCAGTTTGGCCCCCATTTTGAGGTTGATAAACTGTAGAAAATGATGCCACGCAAGTGTTTCATGATTGTGAGGTCAGGAGACCTCAGTGGCCAAGGGAGCATTTGGGCATCATGCAGAATTTGTCTGCTGATGAACATCATGCATGGTGGACATTATCTTGCTAGAAACAGTATTTTGAAATTATTGAATTTAGGACACACAGACTGTAATACTACAGATTTTCTGTAGTTTATATAGAAATAACTTAAAATTTTTGAGCTATAGAAAATACAGATTTTATTGAAAGGGAAGTACGGGGACTGCAGTGAAGGGCTTATTTACCTTGCAGGATCAGTTTGATTATATTATGCTGAGGAAACAACTCATGCTTCATGTGAGCTGTGATTAAACTGGATGTTTTTTAATTTTGTGAAGTACGCTGCTTTGTAATAAGAGGCTAAAATTATCAAGTCAGAAATTTAGACTCGTATTCTGTGGCATTTCCATGCATTTCTGTGGAATTTCCATTAAAGCATATAAAGTTTCTGCAAACCATGCACTTTGCACTGGCATTCAGTTGCATATAATGTAAAAGGTAACTATAAAAAGAGTATGTATTTTCTCAAAGGCATAAAGAAATTAGTGCTATAAAATTAAAGAAGCCAAATTTCTTCACAAAAGACCATAAACTAAATGCTAAATTGCAAACTAAATGCTATTTAATTCAATTTTTCAACTTTAGTTTTGGACCATTAGAAAGAGCTTTTAAATGCAGGGCATTCTGCATCGTACAGATACAACCTTTGAAATATTTTTTTTTCTGTTATATATACACACGCAGATATATATGCAAGATAAAAAATATATAAATCAAAATTATAATTTAAACTAATGGGTAACCTCTTAGTTCTCCCTCTCTATTCTAAAAATCGTAATAACTTCTCTGGATTGTGTCATTTCTAGATCAAATTATCTTTCATGGCTTGCATAACACTCATGACATAGCTTACTCAGAACCTGAATTAAAATTTTCGAGAACTGAAACCTTTTCTAATTTAAACCTTGATGAGCCTCCATATTGGATAATTGCACACTCTTAATTTCAGCTCTCCTGCAGTCAAATTGTTACATTGCTTTATTTGTTTTGTCATGCTACTAACTATGCTATTATCTAAAATGTGATACTCTATATAAAACTGTGGGGTGCACATTGTGCCCACGATCATGTGTGATATCATTCAGCCGAGATATTAATTGAACACATTTTTGCGCACATTTTTCCAAGTGCCAACAGTCTCGCGCACTGGAGATAAAAAACTGCTTTATTTCAAAAAGTGTTGCCACTGCTTGCTTTCAAATCTTGGAGATTGTTAATAAAATATTTGTAAGTTTTACAAAATATCTTTTACTGATATTGAAAAAAAGTTGTATTACAATAACTTAGGAATTGGTTGTTGCTTGGGAAGAATGAACTGATTTCATTCATATTGAAATGTTTTTATACATTTTCATTTCAGGTGTGCATAGAATTTATACATTTTGTTTTGGCCACAGCCCTCTGATCAGGCCCGCTTTTCTGCTAGTACTGTATATATATGGTACAAAATCTGAGATCCGTACTTTTTGGGACTTTAGCAGTTCTGGATTTGGGATTTTTTCGAATGTTAAATTATCTAGTAGTATGAATGCAGAAATTATAAAATTAAAAAATATAAAATAGTGGTTTATGAAGTATTTATGGCCTTAAAAGAATCAGAATTTACAAAAGAAAAAAGCTCATTATTCATTGTTTGTTTTATTAAAATTTCTTTCAATGTAAGTTGTTACTTTGTTTTTGTTCTAATACAGTCAAAAGTTGTCAATTCGGACACCCATAATCCGGAATGATCTATAATCCGGACCTCAAAGCTAAAAACTTTCTGCGCCGCGTTGGCGCATGCGCACAGGCGTTTTGTGCGTGCGCGTAAGACCTTGACTACTGCGCATATGCGTGTGCGCAAGTGCAGAATACGTTTTCGCCTGCGCGTTTAATGTATAACCGACGGTGTAAGCTAAAATTATCTAATTATCTATTTCAGTTAATGTTAATGATTGCGTTGTTCCTTAATCTTCGAATTGGATCCGCTTATTATTTTTTGCAGACTGTAAGAGCAATTTTATAAAGTAAAACTTGAACTTTCGATTATGTCAAATAGAATTTCCGATACTGTTCCAAAGGATCTACAAACGAAAGTATGTTTCGATATCCAACAAACAAAAGTGGAATTGCTGCAAAAAATGGATAAAGACATGAAGAATGTGACAGAGAAGTTAGTGAAAACGAAAAAAATTTCGATTGACAAGTTAGTCGGAATTCTCGGCAAACAGCGGTTCCAACGGGACTTCACAGCAGAACTTTGTAACTGAAACAAGAGATTATGTCTGTCTATGGAATTAAAAGAGAAAGTATTATCACAAAAAACAAAGCAACTTAAACAACATACATTGAACGAAATGTTTAAAAAGGTAAACAAATAAATATTAAGCTTTTTTGTTTTGTAAATTTTGATACCCTTTAGATCATAAATTATGTTCTTTGATTTCATAAATTCCCGATTTCATATTTTTAATTTTATAATTTTTACATGCCATCTTACTAGATTGAAACTGACGATCCAATATCCGGAAAAATCCCATAATCCGGAATCGCCGAAGTCCTGACAAGTCCGGATTAACGACTTTTGACTGTACTTTCTCTCTAATTTTGTATACAGACATAATTTTTTGTTCAGTTCCAAAGTTCAGTTGTTCGCTTCTTAATTGCAATGTTGAGAATTTGCCCTAAATTGTCAGTCAAAATGTTTTGTTCTCAACAAACTCTCACTTTCCTCACTATTTGTAGTGATACTATCTAGCTTTAGGGTCATTCTACAGAGTCCATTAGTTAATTGATGATTGGGTTTTTGTCATAGCAACGGAAGATCTTCTGTTATATCATCTTCATATATTGCCACTTCACATTTATTCATAAGTTATATATATGAATTGGAAAATTTTGCTTTTTATTTGCAATATCCAGAAATCTTCAAATTCATGTCTGTGATCATAAAGTTACAAAGGAGGGACTTCCGAGTTAAATTAATGGTCATACAGGTAGGTATATGACTTAATATAATAAATAATTGCCTATTCAGTATGGAACTATTTTATTTAGTGCCAAAATGAACTTAAGTATCAGGCATGTGAAAAAATATCAAATGCACATGCGTAGAACATACCCCCCCCCAAAAAAAAAAATTAAATAAAAAGTTTGCTGCTGGCTTGGAAGTCCAGATTTTAGATCATTCTAAAAATATCTGACTTTGTACTGTATTTCTACCAAATTTAGGTATAAAAACTCTCGAAGCCGTTCTTATTGAAAAAGTAAACAAGCAGGCAAATAAACAACTGCGTGATAGAAAGAGATAACCTAATTTAGAACTTGAGCTTGCAAAGCATGCTTCTTATAAATCTCTACTTGTAATTTATAAATAAATTATAAGCATTTTTTTTTTTTCAAATTTTCCTGTAGAAATAAGAATCTGAAAACATCAACGATATATGGCTTATGGATTCTAATTTCCTCCATAATTATTTGTGATTTAAAATATTTGATCCACTATTATATTAATAGATTTAGTAGTACTTCTGCTTGACTAATAAAATGAAAATTTATAATTAAATATGCAAATATATTTATGGATTTTAAGATAAATGCAATTTAATTACATCTAACAGTTAATTGAAAATTAAGAAATGGTTAATTAAAAAATATGCCTTATATACATATTTTTACAGTTGTAGAAATAGTATTCGCACTTTGATTTACTGATAAGTTTTGCTGTGGGTTGGAGTCTATAAAGATATTGGCTGCACATTGACTACTGACAAATTTTGCTGTGGGTTGGAGTCTATAAAGATAGTGGCTGCAGCATTTCTATCATATTAGATGTGCAAATATATTAGCAGTTGCAGCAGGATAAGACCTGTCTCTATGTTGCTTCCAGCCTCTTACTTGGCAGGTATCGTTGGTGAAACAAAAGCAAGACTCGTAGCTGTGCACTACCATGTACCGTTCAGTAGTCTAAGAGACACTACAATAACACTATTGCAGTTGGTGACTTTGCATCACTAGCAGTCTTTAAAAGTGTTATGACTGGTAGTCCAACTAACTAGAAAATTTTCTTGCTGATATTAGAGCATCAAAAGCTTTCTGCATATTTTGTGTATTATCAGCAGTCATACTTTGAGCATTAACTGTATGCCTTTGGGTACTTTGGTCCAAGTATGCTGACGTCCATTTAAATGCACCAAGCCGCTGGTACTATTCAGACTCTCTTCTTTCAATCCATCTTCTTTAAATCCTTTGTGCAGTGGCCACATATGGCTTATTTCAATTACATATTGGTTGAAGGAACAAGCAGTCATTTCTAGGCCTAAAATGAAACCCCTTTTGAAAAAAATCTGGTAGCTGAAACTAATATCTGTGGTTTTTAAAGGCAATTGCATGTGTCTTCCAAGAATCCCTTGTAAAAAAAATCGGATTGCTGAAACTAACTTCTGTGGCTTCTACGGGCAATTGTGTGTCTTCCAAGATGAAAAATTGTTTGAAGAATGCACGTAATTCATATGACATTTCCTTCTTTTTCATTTCACTAATTTATTGCATTATGCAAACTTATGTTTGAGATCATTTTCATTAATCATTCAGCTCTGTA